AGAGAGAGAGAGAGCTTGCGAGGGACAGCATGGAATTCAAGAAGCTCCATTGATTAGGCAGCTAACAACAAGAAGATAAGAAGCCGTGAAGTTGAGAAAAAAGAGATTAATACAATGAACTCACGTTACTCACCGGCGCCGGCGCTGGCGCTGTACAAGTGGATTAAAGGGCTCCTCTGCCGGAGAGAAGCAGATAAGGCTGCTCTGCGCAAGTTGGTTGACAAAGGAGGATGATGAAGTGTTATGGTACGGCTAATATGAAAGCAAATGAACGGTCTTGATTTAAATTGGTAATTTGTTATTTATAGTTGAGCTGATGAGACTCGGAAAATTTCGACAGTTCTGAATTCACTCCGAACAGAATAATAAAATTTAATTGTTTGACACTATACGAACCGAAAACATGAATGGTACTGGAGATTTCATAAATATATATATATACCGAGTACTTAAAAGAATCATCTCATATCATACTCATACCGATTCATCTCATACCATACCATGCCGTACCAAAGAATCGAAATTAAGAAGTAAAATATAATATTATGTGTCTTCTTCATAGTTTTTGGTTCAACTTTAATCCTATACAATTTGAGTATATTTAAAATACTTAATAACATATAGTAAAAATAATTACATTTCACTTAAATGTCATGCTTAATTTGATCTACAATTAATTGAAAAATGTATTTATATCATATGTGTTGATATTTATTTTGGTCTTATTTCATGTTATAATGAAAATGGTAAAATAATGTTAATGAAATACTTAAAAATACAATTATATTATATTTTACTCAGATAACAAATTTCAATAATTAGTTGCACAGTTTGGTCTTATCTAAAATTTTGAGTTATTTATTGTTTTCTAAAGTTCATTCGGACCAAATATTTAATATGGTCAAGTATTGATGCATGTTGGATTTTTTTAAATCAAAATTTAAATATAACTAAATATTCATTCAAAAAAATTTAAAAACAATTAAAAATTTTTCGATTTCCGAACCAAATCAAATTGAATCGAACTGTCTCGCTAGTCTCGAATACTGAACCGAACGGTATCGAAAAATAAAAATCTCCAAACATAACCGAATCACTTTTTTAGTACGGTTTCGTAGAACGAATTTTAGTGATTTTCAAATTTCGATACGATTTTGGAGATTTCTTACTCTCCGAATTGTACCAACCCATGCTCACCTCTAATTCGTACTACCTCCTATTCTTTTTAAATGTCGTTTCGAATTTTTTGATTCATCCATTTTGTTATGTATCTAGACATTAATATGTCTAAATACATAACAAAATGGATGAATCAAAAAAGTCAAAACGACATTTATAATGAATAGGAGGGAGTATATGATATCTCTTCAATGTTCAAATCGCTCTAGGATAAAGCTAGGTAACATGAGTGACAAAAAAATAATGTGAATACGTATATTGATATTAAATGTAATGTGATGTGTAAAATAATAGAATTGTGACACGTATTATCATATCAAAGCTTATGCCATTGTCGCGTTATTCATCATTTTAAGAGCAACTGTGGGTATCTTTCTCAATTTGTTTAGGATTTTCTGAATTTCCTAATTCAGTTGAGAATTTTATGTATTTTCTAATTCAATATTTTTTTTCCTTCTCGCGTGAATTTGTTTGGCCTTAAGTTCGATTAAACACCAAGCTCCTTTTTCTTTCAACTCGGTTATTAACATTATGTTTTTTGTCTTCTCACGAATGATTGTGTGGATTTTTCTCCTCAATCCCCCAAGATATGAGGGATTTTCTCACGCCCCTTGGTGATAGTGTGCCTACCGAGGACCTCCGAAGGCTCAACCTTGAAGCAGCCGTTGTTGTCGAGTATTATGAGCATGGGAGCAAGTAGTTTTTCTTCCCCTATCTGTTTCTTAAGCAAGAAGACGTGGAATATCGGATGTACCTTCAACCCTTTCGATAATTCCAATTTGTATGCAACCATACCACTTTTCTCTAGAACTGTGTAGGGACTGTAGTAACGTGAACAAAGCTTCACGGTTTTGTGATGTTGGACTGAGTTTTTCCCGTAATTGAAGCTTCGGGTAGACTTTCTCACCCACTTCGAAATTCCTTGCAATCCTTGACTTGTCTGCATATTGTTTCATGCTGTTTTGTGCCACTAAAAGACTCTCTTTTACTCTTTGTTTCATAATTTGTCAATCTTGAATTTCTTCCTTGGCTTCTTGATTTGATGAGTCTAGATAGAATCTCGTTGATAACATTGGGGGAGCATAGCCATATATATAATGCTTGAAAAGTCATCTTGAGAGCAAAATAAAGTTTGTGTTATACCAATACTAGCCAAAGGCAACCAATTAAGTCATTTCTTAGGTAAATCACTAGTCATACACTTTAACTAGTTTTTAAGGCGCTGGTCGAGCCTCTCAGTTTGTCCATCCGTTTGTGAATGATTTAAAGATGAGAAATTCAATCTCACTCCAATGAATTTGAAAAGTTCATTCCAAAAAACACATGTAAATTTTTTTATCTTTGTCCGTAACATTACGTGTAGCTAGCTCATGTCGTTTGTATATGTTGTTAACAATTAACTTATGAACTTCAGATGCATTAAGGGTGTGACAATGGAAAGAAGTGTCCATACTTACTGAATATGTTAATGACCACTAAAATAGTTTTATTTTCCCCAAAGTTAGGCAGCCCCTCTGTATAATCCAAAGAAATGTGAGTCCATGCCTCATTGTGAATAGCTAGGTGATTGGTCGAAAAAAATGTGTTTTGTTGCATTTATATATTTTCTAGACTTATTTATTTATTAGATGAATTTAAGTGTTATAATATATTTATGGTTTATTTTCAAGATATTGAAGTATTTTAATGGACGACGTAACACCAAACAAAATTGAGTATGCTAGTACGGGGTGTCCCATACCAGCCCATATGTGCTAATTGTCCAAGTTAAAAGCCAACTAAAAGAATTAAGCCAACTGTGGGCCATTAAATGAGGGCAAAAACTCACGCAAATTGGAGACTTGAGGGTAAAAGCTTAAGTAAACATTATTTAATTGGAGGGAGACACCAGGGAAAAAAAAAAGACACGCAGACCTGAGAGAAAAAAGAGCAGCAACCATACGCGAGTTGCGACAGAGAACGGGAGAAAACCAATCGCGGAGAACAGAGATTATAAAGCCGATCAATGGTAGACTTGAGTTAAATTGTTCAGGTCTAAAAAACTCGGATTTAAACGGACTACCAGTAAAAGACTTAACTCTAACCTTGACGGTCATCGAGTTAAACGAGTTGTGCGGGCTATAATAATAATAATAATAATAATAATAATAATAATAATAATAATAATAATAATAATAATAATAATAATAATAATATAAGAAAATCAAAAATAAAAAGAATAAAAAATATATAAAAAATTATTACGGCTAGTTAACGATTGTTTTCAACGGCTATTTAGTATTTACCGCTTTATATGTACAGTTACACATCATATATGAACACACATTACAAATTCTTAAATCCCTCCCTATATATTAATTCAAAACGTGTTGAGCCTAGGTGACAGATTCACACGCTTCGGATGCTGACATGACGAAAATCTATGCTTCGTAATATTTTTTTATTATTTTTGCACTGGAGTTAAGTTTGGTATTAGACATAAATACCTTTACGCATATATTCATTAACTCAACACCCATGTTGTACATGGGTATTAGTACTAGTAACATATTATTTCTCAAATGAAAAAAAATATTCGAACTATTACTTACAATTACCATTTTACTACTTATTTTGTAAATTGAGAATTTTCACGATCATTATAAATTTTATTACTATGTTTCATATGTTAGGTCTTTATCTCATGTGTTTCTTATTAGTCATTCTGATTGACTTAAATATTTTGGTGTGAAGTACAATAACAATGTTGTTATTAATTATCTTTCAAAATTATAATAATCCATTACAACTCATACTAACATGTGAAGAGAAATTGCAAAATTGCAATGTACAAAGAATCTAAGAGCATATTACTTACTTGCTGTAAACATTACACCGTCCAACCCTAGATAAACAGGCCAGCCCTAGCAGGCTTCGGGCTAATCGGTCCGGGTTAAAAAGTCTGACTTAAACGGGCTTCCAATAAAGGGTCTTAACCCTTTTTTTTACTAGCTAAACACGAAGACCATTTAACATCTATATGTCGAACCATACATACTTGGCAATGGTTAATTAATTACGATGATTGATTATATAGCTATTTCTATAAAACTGCTTGTGGTATTTGCTTTGACCAACTATGATGCGTTTGATTTTATTTAGATTGATAACTTAGATAGAATTTTCATGTCTAATGCTAGAATTGAATTTGTAATAATTGTTGTTGAGTTTGATTCGTTAATAGCAAACAGATAGTCGAAAACTGTCGAGAATAACACAACCTAATTAACTAGACAGAGCGTGTGAGTCTACTACTTAGACTAGCCTATTTTCCTAGATCCTAAAGCTACTACTGCATTAAATCTAGAGATCGTGTTCTAAGTTGTCCAGTCGTTAGGTTTAACCGAAGAGTGTGTTTCGGCTAATTATAATGTAAGGAAACATTCGGGCTGATCAACTTTATATCTTTATGGGCTCCTAAAATATTTTAGAAATACTCCTAGGGTGTCGATTTGTTTGTTTTTTAGGTTGTTTTTGCATGAGTCTCATTCTTTTATTATCGATCTGGCAGGGAGACAAGGCTTTTGGTGATGATTTGCGGAAGGGGATGATTTCGAAGCAACGTCAGACCTTGATGGTTGATCTTTAAAGGTTGAGGTTACTCATCGAGGTCTCCATTGTCAGGCCTCGAGCTATTCGTTTTGTCCTAGGTTAGTGTTCTGAACTTCTTTAGGTCATGATCAAGAACAAGATTGTGAGCGCCCAGTCAGGTAGGTACCACTATGTCGGACGTCTTGCGGTCTAAGGACGGGGGTTGTGAAGAAGCCACGAAGGGATATCCTTCCAAGAGGCATCCTTAAATCGTTCGACTACTCTTTTGCCATTTTCTCCCTCCTCACGATGCTTTTATTGAGGGTCTAATCGATCTGTATTCTTATTGAGGGTGAGCTAATATAGAGATCAAGAGATAGTTGAAAAACTTATGCCAGATAATATGGTGAGATGATGCAAAATGTTAGTACTTTGAAAGGTTTATTTATGGGTGACTTCTTGGACGGAGTAACGTGACGGTAAAACTCGTTTGGAGGGTCAGCCATGCCGCCCTTCATTATGATAAAAGAAAGACATTCGAAGGCTTAGGTGTGAGTTTTGGCTGTTGTTATTGCCTGAAAGCATCATAGAGGTCATGAGTATATAGGGGGAGTTTCAACGAGAACCCTTGTTGGTTGCCCTTCCTCTTACGTCATTTTGTTGTCCTTAGAAGTCAACCACATTAATAACCGATTCCAAAAATCTATCAGATTTACGAAGAAGATGAATTTTAAGGTGAAATTAAAAGATCAAATGTAACACGTTACTGTTTTGAGAATATCAAAGAAGGTATTTGCTTGAGAATGAAAATTAAAGCGTAGATATAAGTTAATATACCCAGAAAATCACCTATTAATATAAAACAATCGGCAAAAAAACTAAGTTAGGAGAATAAGAGAAAAGAGAGTAGTTGTGTTTTATTAATAAGTTTTTTTATGTGTCTTCTAACTTCTTAAGCCTCAAGGATTTAATTTATGCAAAAAAATAAAATAAAAAAAAGATAGAAAAACAATGATGATTCCGTGCCAACTAAGAGTGTGGGGGTATGACACGTGTTCTCATTACAAAACTCGTCTTTTAATGATGAGATCGATTGAGCGGTCATTTTACTAATTTGTTTTACCGATTTTTATCCACACTGCAAAGAGATGGACAAAAGACAACAAAATGTGCTAGCTAATAAATCAGTGCTCAAACTCAAAGGGAGATCAACACGTGACTAGTCATACTCATCCATGTTAGTGGGCTTTAGGGGTGAGCAAAATCGAGCCGAAATCGAAATCCGAACCGAACCGGACCGATGTATTCTGTGCAGTTCGGTTTTTCAAGGGTTCGGTTTTTGGTGTGGTTAAATTTTTGAAAAACCACACAAATTTCGGTGCGGTTCTGTTTTTGGTCTGATGGGTGCTGTTTTAACTGAACCGCACCATGCTCACCCCTAATGGGCTTTTCTTTTCATAAACTTGGCCTAATCTTATGTAAGCCCAATTTCTATTGTTAGTGGTGTCTCTCTTAAAAAAAAAAAAAAAGTTTAACCAGGTCCACATTGAAATTAAATAAAACTTGTTGGGCGTGGTGGTGAATAAATGAACTGAAAACCGAGAAGACAAAAGCATGTGCGTGCATGCAAAATCCAGTGGCCTCACCATTCGCCACGTACCCTGACACCTCCTAATGCTGTCCCGCCACGTACCCCCCTTACACTGTCCTCGTCACGACCCTGTGGGCCCCACCCCCACCGATATAAAGCCCTAACTCCACCTTCCCAGTTTCTCCACACCAAATTCAACACAAAGAAAATAAAGCAAAGATCAATGAGTAGTAGCATTTGGGCCCTCCGAGAAATCGATATCTCCCCCCGCCGCCGCGCCGATGCCACCCCCGACCAAGAAAACCACTTCCCCTTCTCCCCCTCCGGCGGCGCCGCCGCCGCCGCCCTCTCGAGGTTCCTCCCCCGGAACACCACCTCCGGCTCGGATTCCGACGACGACCACCCCTACTCGTCGGACCACTTCCGGATGTACGAGTTCAAGGTCCGGAAGTGCGGCCGCAGCCGCACCCACGTCTGGACCGACTGCCCCTTCGCCCACCCCGGCGAGAAGGCCCGCCGCCGCGACCCCCGCCGCTTCCGCTACTCCGCCGCCGCCTGCCCGGACTTCCGCGGCGGCGCCTGCCCGAGGGGCGACGCCTGCAACCTCTCCCACGGCGTGTTCGAGTGCTGGCTCCACCCGTCCCGCTACCGGACGGAGGCCTGCAAGGACGGCCGTGGCTGCCGCCGCAAGATCTGCTTCTTCGCCCACTCCTCCCGCCAGCTCCGCCTCGTTCCCGTCGACGACGACGATGAGGAGGAGGAGACTCCTGCCCCGGTCAGCTCCTGCTGCAGCCACGTCAGCCGCTGCTGCCCGCTGATGGCCCATGTGTCCTCCCCTTCTCCGTCGTCGTCGCCGGAGTTCTCCCTCTTCCGAGATCTCGACAGGATGAGATATATGGAGGTGATGGCCGCCATCGAGGCCATGAACGTGGACGCCAGGAATGTAGATTTTGGGCCGGCCCGGGGGAGAATGGGCCCGGTCAGATTGGGCCGTGGGGGTTTTTCCGGGAGGAATCCGATGGAAGATGGCTGCTGGTATAACAATAACACGAGCAACAACGAGTGTGGGCCAGATCTGGACTGGGTTAATGATCTGCTCACTTAATTTAAAACTATTGAGATTTAATTAAGATTTGAAGGGAGTTAAAGTTGGTATGGAATTTTGTGTGTACATATGAATAATCGACCATGGCCTATATATATATAAACAGAAGCTAATGTGTATGTATAGGCAAAAGGAGAGTTGATTGATGAGGGTGGGGGGTTTTCATTGGTTTGCAGGATTGTTGTTTTAGTACTACTTTTTGATTGAGTTCTCTCTTTTTTTTTTCCCCCCTTTTTTTCTTATTTCAGGTATGTGTTGGGGTTAATTGACAAGACAAAATTTGTGTTAATGGTGTTCCCTATCGTTAATATGCAATAGTTTCCAAATCATCTCCTTTATTTTTGGTAGCAATTCGGAGCTATCTCTCGACTAATGTGTTGGTGACCTGGGTCGCACACTTGGAAGTGGTGGGTGAGTCTTCTAACAAAGATTTTCTGAATACTCGAATTCGAGATCTTACTTAAGCGAAATCAAGTTGTTTATCACTTGAGTCAACTTATGTTGGTTTCAAATCTTCTCCTTTGAGTTACTAATTTGCAACCTATGTTGGTTTCAAATCATCCCGTTTGAGTTACTAATTTGGTGAGGAAATAGAACAGCTGGTTTTGACTAGGGATAATGTTTTATTATCGGAACTATGATCGAGTATAAATTTTTATTTTTTAACTTCAAATTTAACTCAAATATTTTAGATTTAAATTTTTAATTTAAAATTCATCTCAAGTATAATTTTGGACTTGTCTTTTTTCAATACTAGCAATATTCATGTTGATGTGCTCTCACTTTGAACCTGTCTTTCAACGATTGTAGACCATTTGGTCTCTGAAAACCTGCAAAGACGTTGGGATTCTCAGAGGTTTCTCGGCGTTAAACCTCGATCAAGTAGGATATAGAAAGTTATATGGACTAGTCAATAAAGGATGTAGAAAGTTATATGGAATAGTTCAGAGTATAGCGACCATTTGGTCTCTGAAAACCTGCAAAGCCGTTGGGATTCTCGGAGGTTTCCCGGTGTTGAAACCTCGATGGATATAGAACGTTATATGGACTAGTCAATAAAGAATGTAGAAAGATATATGGAATAGTTTAGAGTATAGCGTGGATTAAATTTACCTATTTTTTATTTTACTTATTTATAGAGAGTGATTAGCTTCCTCAGTACACTAGTACGCTTTGTTCTCCTCCATAAAATCATTTATTATTTTTTTTTATTTTGACCATACACGTGACTGGTGGACTACCTCTACATAACTGTCCCTATAGGTCGACGCCGCCACTATAAGACGCATTTTGATGCCTTATTCTGAGCTCGAGACTGACAGAGCTCATATCCACCGAGCTATATGCTGTCCGAGCTACTTCTTGTTGGGTTCTATTAGGAACGTCGACAATGTGCACATGTAAATCTATTGAATAATAAATCCTAACGCAGCGAAATTTATAGTTAGGATTAGGACTTACGGTTTAAAATTTTTGCCGACTCTGATACGATGTAGAGTACCGTTGATGTAGTTCGTCTGAACACCACAATCTAATGGGCAGATAGATTTGGTCTTTATTCGATTCTAATCGAAAGTTCCAACGAGGTTGATCACATGGTGCACGGTCTCGGTCGTCGGGGTGCAGCGGGCTGGTCGCGGGGTGGCGTGCGCACGTTGGGTGCTGTGCACGGAGGCTGGCAGCTTGCGCGGGTCGCTGGTGACGCGTGCGAGTACGCTGCGGGTGCTGGGGAGGAACGTGCTGGCAGTGGGAACGCGCAGGTCGGGCGCGGTACGCTGGGCGTGTGCGCGCACGTAGGACGCTTCTCCTATGCCGGGGCGGACGAGGCGCTGGCAAGTGGACGCACGCGGGCGTGCTGCGCAAGTCTCCTGGGCGCTCGCGGTATGGTGTGCTCGTGATGGTCACGCACTAGAGTCGATCGGCGAGCGAGGCGCTGCGCGGACTGGTGTGGGCCTTCGCACGGTGATCCTGGGCGTCACTGCTGGTAGCTGGCGTTGGGCCTGGCTGGGCGCGACTGCGGGCAGTAGCTCGCGGTTGCGATCGGCTGGGCTCGGCTGTCTCCCGGCGGTGATTTCCGGCGACTCCTCACGGCGGCGAACGACGGCGGTTGGCTGAGTAAGTTGGCCGAAAAAATATGTAATAAAAGGTTCAAGTATATTGTACCAAAAAGCCTTCTAATGAATTACCTAAACACGTACTTCGATTAAACTTGGTGGAGCGTTTAATCGAATCTCCCTAACTCTCGAACAAAGCTATTTCTCACGTATGTAGGAGTGAAAATTCGGCCAGCATAATCATGCTCAAGAGGTTGGGACTTTGTGTATTTATAGGCTCCATTAGAGACCTTAAGGAGGTGCTAAATATGAGCTTATCCCATTAGGCATAGGAATCTTAATTCTACTCCAATACTAATTCAATGTAGGAAGGAGATCTCCTACTAATCTAACTCTTCTAGAAGACTCCTTAGTCTCCTAACACTAGAGAAGATCGTAGTAGGAATACCTTTCCTGATTAAATTAATAATCATGGAATAACATTAATTCCTAATTTGGAAAACCTAATCTTACTCCAATTAATAATATAATGTAGGAAATATATCTCCTACTAATCTTCATCTTCTAGAAGACTCCTTAGTCTCCTAATCCCAAGAGAAAATCCTAGTAGGAATATTATTTTCTTAATTAAATTAATTAATATGGAATAAAATTAATTCATATTTAATGGAATTAAATAATAAAACATCCCACTAGAGTAATATTATTGCTATCCCCATTTAGCCGCTATTTTACCAATAAAATCGAGCCTCCATGATTAAATAATATTAATTTAATTGATCGATTTATCTCACCATGTTTAAGATATAACGTCTATTGATTAATTAAATTAGTGACAAAATAATTAATCAACT